ATTAACACTAATTTTTCATTCATTTCCTAATGCAGTAATCACAACCAAGATCAGAAATGAGGAGGTGATAAGCTGCCTGGGAAAGCCAAGAGAAATCATCAAAACAATTAAAAAACAAAAATTAGAATATTTCGGACATGTGATGCGACACCCAGAAAAATATGGCATACTCCATTTAATCCTACAGGGACAGATTGAAGGCAAACGAGGTCCAGGCAGAAGAAGAACATCGTGGCTTCAAAATCTAAGGGACTGGTTTGGACAAAACTCAGCAGCAATTTTTCGTGCGGCTGCTGATAAAATCAAGATTGCCAACAGGATTGCCAACGTCCGATAACGGATATGGCAGAAGGAGGAGGAGGAGGAGGAGGAGGAGGAGNAGAAGAAGAAGAAGAAGAAGAAGAAGAAGAAGAAGAAGAAGAAGAAGAAGAAGAAGAAGAAGAAGAAGAAGAAGAAGAAGAAGAAGAAGAAGAAGAAGAAGAAGAAGAAGAAGAAGAAGAAGAAGAAGAAGAAGAAGAAGAAGAAGAAGGAGAAGGAGAAGGAGAAGAAGGAGAAGAATCACAACAGAAATTTGCAAAAGTTCCTGGAACATCAGGAAGACAAAAGTTTGCAGGAGTGAAAACCAGAATCTCAGAAAAGAAATTGAAAGGAAAAAAAAAATCTCTCCAAGCCACTCAGTGGCAGCCAAAGATACCAGCTGGATTTTCATCCTGTTTTTTCTCAAGGAGCTTCAGGCGGCCGTGCACTCCCTCCTCCCAGTCCCAAGGGGTGCTTTTTTCAAAAGGCAATTGGACTTTCTTTGTTTTCCATGGAAGACATTTCGCTTCTCATTCAAGAAGCTTCTTCAGTTCTGACTGAATGGTGGAGAATGGAAAGATTTATGTTCCTTGCGATCATCTGGCCAATTTATATTCCTTGCAGTCATCTGAAGAAGCTTCTTGGATGAGAAGTGAAATGTCTTCAAAGGAAAAACAAAGAAAGTTCAGCTGCCTTTTGAAAAAGCACCTTTGGGACATCCATGACCTGGATGACTGAGAATCTCCATAGACATGGAATGAATGACTGGGAGAGGCATAAATGGGAAGCCACAGAGAAATACAAAACGTGCATCAATGCAAGCAAAGATCTACTGTGGATGATCATCAGAGGATTTTAACTTTTCTTCTGAGGTGCGCAAGGAAATTATTTTAAAATCTGGCCAGAGATGGAAGTGGGATTTACCCATATCAATACATTAAGAAACTGAAACTGAACGTCTTAATGAATCTGAGACTGATTTTTTTTTTTTAAAAAAGGATGAAAAATCAAGATAGAATCAAGATCACGTGAAGTATTAATACCACTTTACAATGCCTTGGTAAGGCCACACTTGGAATACTGCATCCAGTTTTGGTCACCAGGATGTAAAAAAGATGTTGAGAGTCTAGAAAGAGTACAGAGAAGAGCAACAAAGATGATTAGGGGACTGGAGGCTAAAACATATAAGGAAAGGTTGATGGAATTGGGTATGTCTAGTTTAATGAAGAGAAGGACGAGGGGAGACATGATAGCAGCCTTCCAATATCTCAGGGGCTGCCACAAAGAAGAGGGAGTCAAGCTATTCTCCAAGGCGCCTGAAGGCAGGACAAGAAGCAACGGATAGAAACTGATCAAGGAGAGAAGCAACCCAGAACTAAGGAGAAACTTCCTGACAGTGAGAACAATTAACCAGTGGAACAACCTGCCTCCAGAAGCTGTGAATGCTCCAAAACTGGAAGTTTTTAAGAAGAGACTGGACAGCCATTTGTCTGAAATGGTATAGGGCGGGGGTAGGCAACCTTGGCTCTTTTATAACTTGTGGAATTCAACTCCTAGAATTCCTGAGCCAGCATAAAAGAGCTAAGGTTGCCTACCCCTGGTGCAGGGTTTCCTGCCTGAGCAGGGGGTTGGACTAGATGACCTCCAAGGTCCCTTCCAAATTTATTATTATTACTATTACTATTACTATTACTATTACTATTACTATTACTATTACTATTACTATTACTATTACTATTACTATTATTATTATTATTATTATTCAATATCAAATCAATCCAAAGAGAATGTTTTCACCAACTATTTTATAGGTTAGTTGTACTACCTTCTCACCATCCAAAGACGCTTTGGTAAGTAGAGCCAAGCAAGGTATTTGCTCATATTTGAATTCCAACCATACTTAACAGAGGAGACAGATCTAGATGTTCCTCAGGTCATCATCCTGACTACCACGGTGGTGGTAATCAGAGGTCCTCCCTTTCGGGACAGCCATTATTTTAATCTTACCCTTGCTGACATTCCTTGTTCTCTGGAATTTGCTTTTGTTTGTAACTAATTGGGACAAGGCCCCAAGCAGGCACAGTTTAGAGGCCAACCAGTTCCAGATGCCTCTGGGCAACTGTATTTATTTATCCTTCAAACTGATATCACGGCTCATCTCACAAAACAAGTCACTCTACTCCTGAAAATAAGCTTACTTCTTAAAAGCAAGAGGAGATCTCGAGTATACAAAACCGGAAGAAAAAAAATCAAGCATAATAAAAAGGAAAAGCAACAAGGGCTTGGTAACCACCCTGCCCCAAGATCTAGCCAAGGATACATGGACTTTTTGAACATCCTTAGGATGGGGCACACAGGGACCTCTGGGAGAGGGGATGCTGTCCCGAAGACATCCCCAAAGAGACACCTCCCTAGATCAGGGGTAGTCAACCTTGGCTCTTTTATGACTCGTGGACTTCAACTCCCAGAATTTCTGAGCCAGCTAAGGAATTCTGGGAATTGAAGTCCACAAGTCATAAAAGAGCCAAGGTTGACTACCCTTGCCCTAGATCCTGCTAGAATTCAGTGTTTCTCAACGTCAACAACTTTACGATTTGTGGACTTCAAGTTCCAGAATTCCTCAGCCAACATGCTGGCTGGAGAATTCTGGGAGTTGAAGTCCACACATCTTAAAATTGCTGAGGTTGAGAAACACTGTGCTAGATGGATGGTTTGATTGAAAGGACCTGGAGCAAATCCATTCTGCCCAGTCTTAGCTGACAGGTAAAAACTACTAGAGTTGGCAGCCTCTCCAATAACCAAACCCCAGGAGCCGTGGCTGGCACAGTGGTTAGGATGCAGTATTGCAGGCTAATTTTGCTGATTCACATGATAACACATTTTGGAATTGTTCTAACTGCTCAGATTATGGAGATTAGATTATGTCTTCTTTCTCAAGGTTCTAATCTACGCTTTGGGTTTTTTTTTCCTGGAGAGATTCTAAATAGCTTAATTTAACTTTTTAGGGAAACTCAAAAAAGAATATTATATATACCACTTCTCTTCCAGAACTAAATAAGGCTAGATTGGGAAGTCAACCAAACCACTTTCTCGTTCTTGTCAAGAAATTATATGGATGTAGCCATGTAGTTATCCCAAGTTAAGATCAATATAAGGGAGATTTTGTTTTTTGTTTTGTTTAATCAATTTCATAACTAATTAAACAAGAGTTGTGGTGACGCAGTGGTTAGAATGCAGTATTGCAGGCCAACTCTGCCCACAGCCAGGAATTCGATCCTGATCGGCTCAAGGTTGACTCAGCCTTCCATCCTTCCGAGGTCGGTAAAATGAGGACCCAGATTGTTGGGGGCAATAGGCTGACTCTGTAAACTACTTAGAGAGGGCTGTAAAGCACTGTGAAGCAGTATATAAGTCTAAATCAGTGTTTCTCAACCTTGACAATTTTAAGGCATGTGGACTTCAACTCCCAGAATTCCACAGCCAGCATTGCTGGCTGTGGAATTCTGGGAGTTGAAGTCCACATGCCTTAAAATTGTCAAGGTTGAGAAACACTGGTCTAAATGCTATTGCTATGCCATAGAAGACTTTACAAGTAACCTTCACCTGTAAAGTCCACTGGTGGCCAATGCAGCTTTCAGAGCAACTATGACACCTGACCACATGGCGAATCCTCCATAACTGCCTGCCCCATTGCATTCTGGAACAGCTGGAGTTTCTGAGTTGCCTTCAAGGGCTGTTCCCACCAATTGCATTTCAAGATGACCAGAGGGCAAGGGACTTTCTGAAACAAGGCAGACACTATTTTAGTACAGATATTCTTTTTTTCCCACACAGCAAGGAGAGACTGCATAGAAGCCCTAGCAGTCAGGCCTCTTGCTCCACATTTGCTAGACGTTTGGAAAATAAATCAAGTATAAACAAGTCATGCAGGCTCAAGGGATTATGTTTTTTTTTTTATGGAAAAAGAGAGATAGGAAATTGCATTAACCAGACATACATCATTATTCTGAGTTTATCAGGAGAAAAAGCTACTCAATCATTTCACAGCAAAGTTGGATAGTTCATGCAGAAAAGCCCATCACCATCAGAACAATGAATGTGGCTTTTCTAAAAGCGTGTCCAGGTTGCCCAATTTTCTAGAAACGGCTGTTTTCCACCCGCATGTGTGAAAACCCTGGCTCTAGCTAGTTTGCATTCTTGAGCGTTCAGCCATCTTTTCATCCAAGTCTCTAGAATTTCTTTTTCAACCACTTTCCAGGGCCACCCAGGGTCAGAAGAGATATTCAGCAGCTCTCTCCAGAACAAACTTGGACTGAGTACATCTGATAGCCAGATTTAGAATACAAATTTGAATTTTTTTTTTTAAAAAAAAAAGAAGCTTCAGGAGAGAGAGAGAGTTTAGAGAGGAAGCAAAGAAAACAGGTGGATAAGCAAAAACAACAGCTGGAAATTGAATCCAGACCAGAAAGCTTCTACAAATATTGCTCTATTTCCTACTCCAATGTTTTTTTTCTTTCAAAAACACTCCCTTCCCCAAGGGAAATTGTTCGTCCTAAAATTTCAGGAGAAGCAAAAGACCTTTGTTTCCGTTCAAAGTTCAAAACGAATATACTTGGAGTAAGTCTATTGGAGGTTTCAGAGATTAATAACTTTCCCCTGAGAAAGCCAGTTTGCTCCCATTTCAGCCAGGACAGTAATTGGACAGCAAGATGCTTTCCATCAGGACACTTGATGGTGTCACGCTCCCCCTCAAAAGAGTTGTTCAATTCTCCCGGAAGCTCCTTCCGAGTATGGGAAATTTCCTGGGGGCACCTTCTGGCTGGGACCAGCATCGCATCTGCCCCCTGTGAGGAGAGGGGAGATCAATGACCCTACACAGATTGGAAAGAATGAGCCCATTTTCAGCTACTTGGGTAAGAAGAAGAAGAACCCTGGTGGCAGTGTGGTTAAAGTGCAATATTGCAGGCTAACTCTGCCCACCGCCTGGAGTTCGATCCTGATGGAGCTCAAGGTTGACTCAGCCTTCCCTCCTTCGGTAAAATGAGGACCCAGATTGTTGAGAGCAATATGCAAATAATGCTTCTACCTTGTAAACCCGCCCAGAGAGTGCTGGAAAGGGTGGAGTGGTATATAAGCCGAACTGCTATTGCTATTCTTGGGTAAGGCCACATGTCCACTGCGCCTTGGAAGCATCATGGAAACAAGGGGCTCTGTTCCTCTCCATTTCCCCTTTTTTGGCATCATCTCTAGTGCTTCAGAATTTCCATTTCATAAGGCAAATTTTCTTTGGCACACGAGGCCCGCCTTGGGCGTCTTTGCTTCCCCCTCCTCCCGACCTGGGAAGCTCTTGAGACAAGGGATGCTTTTCAGCAGCTACCAACCCTTCACGCCTCCACCAACCTCCCCACTAGTCCCCTCAGCCAAGTTTCCAGCAGAAAGCATGTGAAACATCTGCATTTTCATGGCATGACAAAGCCCTGCTGGGAAGGGCAGCTGGGGAGGGCCAAGACCCCGTGAAATGACAGGAACACTACATCTACAAGACTCCATGAAGTGTCTCACAAAGGCCACCCTTTCTGACCTGTAATTGCTTCCAGATCTGGACGTTTTCTCCACTGAGTTCCCCAGCACACACTCACACCTAGATGGGCACACACAAAATACTGGTAGTCTTTGACCCACGACCGTAATTGAGCCCCAAAATTTCTGTTGCCAAGCAAGAAAGCTGTTAAGTGAGTTTTGCCCCATTTTATGACTTTCCTTGCCACAGTTGTTTAGTGCAGAAGCCCCCAATATTTTGTGCACCAGGGACTGGTTCCATGGAGAGAGGTTTTTCCGTGGACCGGAAGGGGCGTGGTTTCGTGTGCTGCCTGCATCCCGCAGATGGGGCTTTGCTGGTTTGCATGGCCCAATTTCTGGCAAGCCACAGCCTGGTACCGGTCCACGGATCGGGGGTTGGGGACCCCTGGTTTAATGAATCACATTTAACATACAGATGTTAAATGAATCTGGCTTCCCCACTGACTTTGCTTGTCAGAAGGTGGCAAAAAGGGGATCACGTGACCCCAGGACAGTGCAACCGTCATAAATATGAATCAGCCGCCAAGCGTCTGAATTTTGATCACGTGACCATGGGGATGCTGCAACGTTGGTAAGAGTGAAAAATGGTCACAGGTCCCTTTTTCCAGGGCCGTTGTAACTTTGAACGGTCACTAAATGAACTGTTGTAAGTCAGGGACTACTTGAATTGCATACCACTCTTTCCCTATCCTGATTCTCCCAGCCGTTCTCACAAGGCACAGTCAAATATACCTGGCAACTTTTTCTTTGCACCAATTAACAGAGTTGTCCAATGTTGATTGAGACTCCTCTCTTTCAGATTGCCCCAGAATTACTCTTATTCCACCTGTGCGTTTGCACACTTCCTGTAACTCACTCATCACTGCAGTCCTTGTTTAAGTTAGACCTCAGCCAACTTTATATCCTAACACGCCTACGTTCACCCTAGGAGGTTCTTCCATCAAGGTCCTAACGGACGGAGAAAGAGGCTTTGCATCTTGAAAGGTTGTGCATGATAGCCTCCTCCCTTCATTTTATTTCCTACAAATTTGGGCTGTGTGCCCCAGGGCCATTAGGTTGCTCTACAGATCAAGCCAGCCTCATCTGGTTCAGGAATTTCTACCCTTCTTAACTAGGGTGGCACCTGGGAAAGGTATTTTGTTTTGAGCTCAGAACAAAACAAGGCCGCTTGAAAGATTCCTTTGGAGTTGGGTGGGACAAAACTTGAAAGAGACGGGGAGGTTTTGTCCAGCTTCAAAACCGAATTCTTGAAATACACAAATGTTAATGTTGTGCTCAGAATGCTCAAATGCAACATGTGTTTTCTATGACGGATGGCATTAGATGTTAAGTGTTCAGGTTTTGTTCTTGAAACAAAACTCTCAGAGTCTTGAGAGGGCTTAAAATGGCCAAGGAGGTGCCAAATGTCCCTTACACCTTTACGTTTAATTCCACACAGATGTGAACACGTATTAGGAAGAATGCATTTTTATTCATTCCGTTTATACTTAAATAATACTTTCAAGAGTAAATTTGAGGATATTAAATTTTAGCCCCAGTCTTCCCTTCTCAGCAATGTCTCACCAGGCAGCGCAACCCATCTGGAGTTGGGGGCTGCCCCACTGAGGGTAATCTTAAAGTCCTCTATTTCCAATATCCCAGTGAGGCAGAATTCACATTTGGCTTTGTGGATTTTCAATGAGCACCTTGGCTAATATAAAAAGGAAGCTTCACCACATACAACCTGTTCTCCTTACCAGATTCTATCCAAAGACACGAAATATCTTATTTCCTTTTGGAAACTGCGGCAAATGGTCCAGCCAACTTTCACCAATGTCCATTTAGGGATTTCTGAGTGGTGCCAGAAAGGATATCTGGGGTTGGTTATTTCTTTTAAGTCAGTCTTCGTTCCTGGTGAACTCACAGCCATGTACTCCTGGCAAAAGGCTGCCATATTCTCTGGGGATAATTCTTTACTT